TTAAAGCAGAAACTCAAAATTAGTCTCACTAAGACAACTTTATGTCTTTTTCTAATCTTGTCATCATTATATTCTTCTGTTCTTCTTTTCAGGTCATCGTATGGGGCGACTACGGACGTATGGACCATAAATCATTCATGGGAGCAGTTCAGATACTGTTAGATGAGCTGGACCTGTCCAATATGGTGATTGGCTGGTTCAAGCTCTTTCCTCCTTCCTCACTGGTGGACCCTACTCTGGCCCCACTGACAAGAAGAGCTTCCCAATCCTCACTGGACAGTTTCTCTCGATCATAGCAGCGTGTGGACTGATAGCGTTGTTGTAGCAGCCAGTGTTGCGATTACAGGTCACGCCCCCGGTTACACTGCATGCTTGATGTTGTGTCTTCTGAGCCTGTTTCTAGGGGTGCAAACGTGATCCTGTGTTTTGAGCAAAAACGTTGCGCACATTGTGCACATGGCAAAGGTGTCACAAGCGCCTGGCGGCAGGGATTGCCAGGTGTTGTTGTTGTTTGGAGGAAGCTGGAATGAACTCCTTAGCACGAGGATTCCGTCAGTTCCAGGTTTTCATCCAATTCGAAGCCATGGGGGTCAACACTGGGAACCACTAAAAGAGTTCTACAGAAGCCCTTTTCGAATGAAAAATCAATGTGTTGCTTTGATTTTTTCGTTTTGTTTTCATTTGTTTTGTTTATATTTTTCTTTAAATGTCAATGTACTTGTATCTGAAGGGGGTGACAGTGTTTCTAACCAGATGCTTGGTCACGCCACGCCAACAGACCTAGCTGTGTAGATGGAGTTTTGGAGACCATCACTTTGGGTGAGGTGTGTCCCAGCTTGTATCCACACTCCCCCAGAACCCCAAAAGAAATGCCCTGCATACTCAAGGTTTATGTACTGAATCAACCCGTACTGGTAAATCACCATAAAGATTAGCTAATCAGAGGCAATACTGAAGTGGCTACCATCAACCCTCCAAAATATACAGTAACAATCCAAACCCCATGAAAAGATGTACAATCTTACCATCATTCTTTCTCTGTTGATATATTGTATGAAAATTAAATGAGAAAAAATATTTTTTTCCTTTTTAGTTCATTTGCATGGACACAAATTTAGCTGAATAAAAAAAGAAAAATTATTTTCTTGAGGCTGCAACTTGCAAAAAAGATGAAAAATAAATAAAACAGATCAGCCATTTTCAACAATTTATATTATTTTTAAAGATAAATTTCACTAGTGCATGGTTTTCAAGGGGAGTGAATGCAACATCGTGATTAAAAAAAAAAAAAGAAGACATTGTTTATCATTCTTTAGACCATTCATGAGTCTGTGTTTTGCAGACGTGCAGATAAGGGAAACTTAAAGGAAACTTTTGGAGTTATTTAACAGAAAATGTTTATGTGACAAAAAGTGATAATGAAAATAAATGTAAATTATTTATTTCATTGTACAAGGCTCATGCCTTATAAAGATAAACATTATGTGCAAATTGTACGTTTCTCTTTTTCTTCCTTGTCCCAGGGTACTTCTCATTGTACTATTCATTGCTACCATTGTTCAGTCCCCTGATATCGTCCAGATTTTAGGACTGTTGGTTATTTTACAGTTCTGTATTGTTTCAGTATGTATTTTATTTTGGATTTGATTTGTTTAACAAGCATGTTGAAAAGGATTTTCTGCAACATGGCTTGGGCACACCTTACAGTAACTCAGCATGTTTTGATAAAGATGATATTTGGAATTTTTGCAGTTTCTTGTACAGTGCATGTCAACTTCATTACTTTTCTCCCTCACCTTAAATTGAGCTCTACAGCAAATTAGTTCTTGGTCTTCCATGGCCAGTTATTGAAGTTTTAACAAAACATTCCACCCCCAAAGTCATATTTTCTTTCAGGTTTTTGAGAAAAAAAAAGAAAAAAAAACGACAAGGAAAATATTTTATATTTAATGGAGGCTGGCGAAACAGTTGTGATTGCAAGTGTATTTTATTTCAGTATTGTTGACGAACATGCAAAAATAATCTGTACTGGTACAGCAAGAGGTCTATACCTAATCAAGAGGCAGCAAACATGCAAGAGATGCGTGTTGCTGTGGTTCAATTTTACAGGCACTGTATGTGAAGATGAACTAATCACAAGTTCAAATAATAAGGGATATTGCCACAGAAAATGTTTTTTTTTTCCGTTGTTTTAATGAAAATGAAATTAATTTACTATATTTTTGTTAGTTTTATTTAAAAGCCAAGACCAGTTTATTTTTTATTTTCTATTTTTAGTAATTATAAATACTTCTCATGTCCGGGAAGTATATGAATCTTAGAGTTGCAGTATGTCTGAATGAAATTGAACTGAGGCATTGTTCCTTTTCCACATGAAGATAATGCATTTTAATGTCCAAGAAAAACCTTGTCGCTGTAACAAGCTACACTATATATTTTCATTTTAATTTTCATTGTACATACCTTTAGATGTCAGAGTTTGAATAAACAAGCTACCATGAAGATAGATTGATAGACTCTTTTGGAACAGGAAAAATGCCTCATGATGACAAAGACATGTTATTTATCCTTTTGAATGCCTTTTAATTTTCTCTTTTGGTGCAATGTGTTAATGCCAAGGCTATGTCTTGGTTAAGTATGGTTGAGTACAGAGATTTATGTAAGTTATTTTTCAAATTAAAAATAAAAAATTGATATTACACTGATGCCAAGAGTTGGGTGATGATAAAAATGACACACACACAACTATCATGCTCTCTATATCAAACTGCCGGAAAAGTATGTCAGAAATAAATAGGGTACACTGCACTTCCACAAAGACCCAGTAAATTTTCTTTCGATAGCCTACTTTGCATTACGGATATTCTATTCCTGATTTGGATTCTCAGGCTGAGTAGCAAGATACTCCCTACTGACAGCCAATTGACCCCTAAATTGCAAATAAAAAAGAATTATATGATTATTAAAGTAAAGAACATATGGTTCAGCACTAATGTCCAGTTTCTGATACACAGTCGTGTTTGTTACCTGAGCTCTGGGTAAAGGTTTAATAGCTCCATTTATCAATTTATTCTACAGGAAATGGGTGAAGGGAGGTTATTCTGTAACAAAAGTATTACAACTTTCCAAAAGGCATGATGTAAGATAAGGCAAGCCTCATCTGTTGCTGCTGTTATAAAGAAACTACAAGAGGACAGTCATGTTACTGTTGTCTTTCAAATGACGGTTGTCCACTGAGGTGTAACTGAGGACAGTCTATGGGTTTAACCTAATTACATAAAATCATTATACATTGTGAAGCATGGTGCAGAATGTCAGTGTTTGCTGTACAAATCAACCAGATTCAACTTTGTTCAAAGACATGAAAAGAAGCTTGAAAAATACCGAGAGCATATTCTTTGGTCAGATGAGACCAAGGTAAATCTGTTTGGCTCAGATAGAGTCCAACATGTTTGGAGGGAACCTTGCCAGGACCACCATAATGAATGCACAGTCCTGAGAGTGAAGCACAAAGGTGGGAGAGAGACAATATGGGGTTGCATTAGTGCAAAAGGTGTTAGGAAGATGAGATTGAGGCTATAGATGGCATCATGATGCCTGTGGACATGCTAAAATACTGGCTGATAAGATAACTCCCAGTCTGCAGACATTTGGCAGAAGAACATTCCAGCATGATGATGCAAAAACACAATGTCAAAATCAAACAAGAGTTTCTAAAGAAGAGAAACTTAAAACTTTGACCTGGCGAAGTAAGTCGTCTGAGTTGAATACAACAGAGAATCTTCAGAATATTTTGTTTTACATTAAAGCAAATACCCCACTGATCAACCTAGAAGAGATGCAATTATTGTAAGGTGTTACAATTGTGAGTGGTTTGACATTTATATATTTCACTGTTATTGTTGTACACTGTGTGTTGCTTTGATAGAAGTATTTGTAAAATGAACAAACAGAAACCAGATTATATGACAAATTGGGCAAAATGCCCACCCCAGGTCATGACATTGTCAAAAACTTACATTTATCGTCAAATGTGAGCCTCATGGTGGCCTTAGGGGATCACAAGGCATTGACATTTACTCTCTGGGGACCATGGCTATACTGAATGTTTGTGCCAATTTATCCAATATGTTTTGAGATACTTCATAAGATGCCAAACATGTCACAAATCCAAACATTGTGGTCTTCTTGTTTGTCTAAATATTATTCTCTACAATCCTCTACTTCTGTTAGAAGCTACTACTTCAGAGCTTTTATCAGGTCTGCTGCTGTCTGAATGCCTTGAGTGAATACGCAGAATAATCAGTACTTAATGTATTAATGCCTTGGTGACTTCCAGCCTCGGAAAACAGGCTTAATGTTTTTTTATACCAACCACACACTCGAGTCTCACACGGCCAGCCTTGTATTACCTTCTGTTTGCTTCTGCTTTTGGTTAAAAAATAGGGATGACTGAGGAATGACTAATGACTGAGGTTTGAGGGAACTGAGGACTTCCTGTTTGCGTTGTACTTAAGGAAGCTGCGGACTACATGCATCAGAATAGATGTCAGGACTGCACATCAGGCTTGTGCTTTAGCAAAAATTTTCCAATACACTAACAGGTTTTATTTTTATGTTCTTTCAACCTCCTTTTTTGTCTACTTTGGCTTTTGTTTTCTAGTGTCAAGTTTTTCCCATAGGATCTGTTACAATCCAGGATGCTACTGAGGTGGATTACAATAAAACAAAGCCTTCAGGATGTTGGTTTTCTAGCTGTGGATGTTTTCACCACTGGTAAAAGGGATGATTTAAGAAGAACTATTGCCCTCCTTTTCACCTGTAGCTTCTTCAGCCTGCTGCTCAGCTCCCTCCTCCTCCTGTACCTCCTCTTCACCCTGGACTATGAACTCGCAGTGGCTGGAGGGATTGTTGGCTGCTTTGGGACACTACTGACTGTTGCCCTCTTCCTGTCCAAGAAAGTTAGATGTTTAGGAACCCTATTTGTCATATCTATTTTCATGAAGAAGAGTCGAAACCTGCTTCTGACTGCCGGGACCAGTATAGTGGTTCTTAAAAATATCCGCAACACTCTGGAAAACCTCACACGCCTGGTCAGAAGTATGATTTGCAACCTGCAGGCGAAGAAAGAAGCCATCACTGCTCCGTTCAGTAACTACATCAAGATGTTGAAGTGGATAGGAAACATGCTCAAAGGAGTCACTGACCTGGGAGTGGTGAACCTGGACTCCCACCTGAAGGTGTCGCCCAGGCTGGAATCGGAAAAATTCAGGTGGAAACTTGCTGACGCGGAGCAGAAGCTCAACGAGACCGTAAGATATGCGCAGGCCTTCATGAGTACGGTCTCCTCTGTGGCCGACAAAATGTTTCCCGCCATCAGCTTCCTGGTGCTCATGATGTTTATAGGCTTGCACATAAAAAAATACTGCAATGACATGAAATACAAAAACTGTTTCATCAGCAGCAAATTTGTTCGTTTTGACGAGAAGCAGAAGGCAGAAGGGAAGCCCCACGTCCTCCCCCTGACACCAGAGGAGGAGAAGCTGTACGCCGCCATCCTCTCCACCCGTCCCACCACCAGAGAGGGGAAAGCTGTGGTCAAATTTGGAATCCCAGTTGTCTCCCATTTTGTAGCTTGGGTCATGTTTATAACTGTGGATGCATTATTGTACTGTTTTGTTGACATCATAACAACAAAGTTATCAGAACTGGAACCGTTCCATGTCCCCTTGTTAATGAGTATCAAAGTAAGTATGCTATTTATTTGAGATATTCATGGAATTTTCTACAACTATGTCAATCTATCATTAGGCACTCATTCATTTACATTTTCAGGGGATTGCAACTCTAATTGGTATACCATTTGGTGAAGAAAACCACCAAGAAGACTTTTCCTACTCGGTGACCCTGTTTGAGAAGAAGTGCCTTCCCAAACCCAAGCTCCTGCTCTATAACTCTGTATTCCCACTGACTGCCATCCTTCTCACGCTGCTCGTTATGGCTCTGATGGCCGCCAAAGTCTCCCAGCTCAGGCTGATGGTCTGTGAACGATTCTTCACCAATGCTGCAGAGGCAAGAGTAGAGTACCTGCACGGGAAAATCCTGAGGAAGAGATTAAAACTGCAGAAGGAGAAAAACAGCTGCAGCTTCATGTCACTTCTTGTTAAGGTTTGTATTGCGATATATTGAATAATGATTTTATTATGTGTATAAAGACTCTGATATGTAGTTCTTTTTTTTCCTCCCATCAGCCACATTTCTGGTGCCCGCTTCTCTTTCAACCCAAACAGAATGAACGAATTCCTGTGTGAGGACATTGTTCTTCCTGCTACATGACTTTGTTGTCCACTAAACACTATGACACTGTCTCTTGGTAAGTCAGTTCACCGATCTAGTCCAGCCTGACTAACAGCTACGAAATAGATTTCATTAAGCTTTACACAATGGTTGTCAGAGGATGAATTGTAGTGACTTTGGTCAATCTAGTGACTTTTACTTTACCACCACCATCAGGCTGACTTTTGTGTTTTTTAGTAAATTATCTTTAATAATATGTAACGCCTTAACATGTGGCCCAGCTATTTATGGTACCTAGAGGATGACTCATTTTTGTGATCACCAGATTATTTATATGTGTTTTAAGTTATCTAGTGCATCAGATTAAATTGTTTGCTCATAATATTAGTTATACATTAAGCCTGCAATGTGGAATTTTTGTCTCCCCCTTCTGGCAATGAGAGGAATTAACTGAAATGTCTCAACTTGGCAAAGATGTTAATAATATTTGAAATAAAACAGATTAAATAGTAAAAAGTAATAAATGGTACTATGCCAACTGAAAATGGTACACAATAAACATTATCAGTGGATATGTCTGAAGGCTCATAAACAACAGGAGAATCTTTTGTTCATGATATTTTAAATTCTTTGAATATTTTTATAATAAACACGTGCTCAAACACTGTGCCTCAGTAGTCATCTATAATCCATTACATCTATTGGTTCATTACTATGTAGAAGTCTACCACACCTCATTAAGGTTTTATCACATTACACAAATAACTGGTCAACCCACCAACTGACAACAATGGTAACCAAGGAGAATGCCTCGTGAAAGGAACACTTGCATATTAACAACAGGCAATCAATTACAGACCTTATTTTAGGAGGAATAATTCAATTCAGTTTAGCTTCAGTGAGCGCTCAGCAACTAACAATATGATTTTACTTACATCCTGTCAGTTACATAACAAGGCAGATGACAATATTCTTTGATGAATCCAACCCCAAACTGTGAGCACAGACATACATTTATAGCTATTGATTTCTGATGTTAGCTGTGAATAATGTTAATAATAGGCACTTTACGTTGCTGTGTTGCATAACAGAAAGATCGCAGCACAGCATCTGTCATACAGAGGCAAGCTTCTCCACGTTACCTCCCTGTGTAATGCAGAGAGTACAACAGCTATATTTGCTTACATAATCTAAGACAGATGTCCCACCATGTGCAGTGAAGAACTGTCCTCTCCCCACCTAAGCACTGTCACTGCTCATTAACACCACGCAGGTGTTACTGTCTTCGCCTAGAAAGCAGGAATAGGTCTCATGACTTGTAATAAAGACTCTGACATGTGAGACATACATGGATTAGTTAAAGGTCAGAAGTGATATGTATATGTCGAACCTTGGTGCTACTTTTTAATAAGGGGAAGTAAATGATGAAGTCTGGTGCTTTATTGGCAGTCATGAAAAGTCATGAAAAATTCTCTTGGCTGGTGTTGATCCCACTACATGATGGAATAATAGCAATATATATATAGAGAGAAAAAAGGTCAGTTATCAGTGATTTATTAACTTTTATAACTTCAGACTTGATTTCTTATTAACCATAAGTATTTATTAATGCACTGCAGATATTTATAACTTGCATGATTACCTCATTAAAATAATTATTGTCTAATTATATGTCAGATATAAATATACTGCTAATAGCACATTTGTTTGAATTTAAAATGCTCACTTTTAATTTCACTGCATCAGTTTTTTTTGTTTGATCAACTTGCTGTCTCATTTTCATTCCTTCAGATTTTTTCCTGTTATTTCATATTAGATTTTAATGACATTAGCAACGTAGCACACATGTGTCATATTTCATATCGAACCTAAAATGAATAGCTTGCATACATTTTTCTTGTTTGGAGGTGAAACCTGCCCAGCTTACACCAGGATGAAAGTATTTCTGACAGAAGTGGAATGTTATGTATCTGCATTGTTACTTGTTTTATAATGTGCTCTTAAATGTCAGCACTGTTTCTGCCATTCCATTGTTGTTATGCCCTTAGTTTCCAAGGGTGATAATGAGTGATGTGTGCATGATTTGCAACGCATGTAATGTACACGTAATCTATTCTTGAAGAGACAGTGATCTGTTCCAATACAGATGAACATTTTTTTTCTGCTAAAATAGTTTAATGTCAGCTAGAATGAGGGGAATTATTCAATATTCAATGTGAGTCAGTCCCTTAATTTTAAAAGTTGAGTAAGTGCCGAGTGAATATTCCACTGATGATTTCAACGCAGTGCGTAAGGCCCATTTCACCGTTTTCACATATATTCAGTTTGGACTGTACAATCCCATACACAGTCGTCCCCCCACCATCCGGCACGCTGTCAGAGACAAGAGGAAGGAAGTGGGCTAGCTCAAGGATGAGTAGGCCTTCTGTGACTCACACGCTGGCACTGACCCGTGTAGCAACCTGATAAGCTCACACTATGTCTCAACTGGCCCTGTGGCATAATACCACGGCAGCATGCCAGCCCAATAGGAAGCTGCCACATAATGCTCAGCGACAGCCGCGGACCTTTTTACCGTACGTGCAGTCCATACATGGGCATAGACGGAGCGCATATGTGAGATCCTGCTGAATATGCAAACACGCAGTCAGTTTGGGTCAGTGAAGTAAATCTAAATACTTTCATGCATGTCAGTGTATTTTAGGGAATATTTCATCAAAGGCGGAGGATGCTTTTGGGTGAGAAACAGCAGTCTTGTAACCAATGACGTTTAAGAAAATAGGGTAAAACAATAAAAAAATTCTCTTTATTGCATTGCTGTTATTTTATTGGGTAATTAACACAGTATGAAAAGATCATCTTTTCTAATCACAACACATTTTAAACCATGAAATCATGCATAAGGCCTATTTTCACTGCATACAGTGAGTTACTTGATTACATAATAAAGTTTAGAGTAGATTCAGCAGCAGAGTGGCTTCTACTGACCTGTGTACTGAGCAGAGCTGACCTGGAAACCTCACACAGCTGAGAAAATGCAACATGGTGTTCTCTTCCAGAAGAACATTGACCTATAGGTGTTGGTCAGGGTTGACCTACAGGCCAACACATGCACCCCCACCAGTACTGTACACGGTGACTTAAATAACTGAATCACCTGCAGAAATGTGGCGAAACTGTCCCATTTCAAATATATAGAGACCACTCAGAGAAGGTTTATCTGTGAAGAAAACAACATTCAGTTGTTTGCGGCTTTGGTAGTTTCTGGATTGTACTGGAGACACAGCTGGAGATTCAAAGTGCCTTTCATGCTCTCAGTCGGTTGTTCATAGAGAAATGACTTTGCCTTCATAGGGCTTTCTGATCACAGCTGTAGGTTTTCCCACCTGCAGGCCAAATACAAAGCAGAAAGAAAGGTTAAGTCACCTCTGTGCAGCTACAATGCCTCATCAAGACTTGGCTGCTTCAAATTCAACCTAAGTTTAAATTTTCTCTGGAAGCTGTTTTACAGAGAGGTGTTTTTTGCTGTGTCCTCTAAATGTAATTTTGGATGCTGATTGAATGATTATTCTAGAAAATCTTGGAGATGCACTGTGTCAAAGTAACACCCATATTCACTTTTACCTTGACACATACCTACCAACATCGTGGGAAATACTTTTATTTGTTTTCTTCCTGACACTTAGTTTAGAAAATTGACAGCACTCTCATGTCTCTACGGTAAATATAAAGCAGCCAGCCAGCAGTTAGTTTAGCTTAGCATAAAGATTGGAAAAAGGGTGAAACAGCTAGCCTAGCTCTGATTACAGGTCATTATAAAAACAGTCTCCTGGCCCCCGTGAAGCTAATCCAGTATTTATTATATCTACCTTATTGGTGTAAAAATCGTGATGACCAATTGTGGTATTGCAGAGGGTCATGAGCTGAACTATGAAATAGATGTTTTGGCCTTTGCAAGCCTCCTTAAAAATATCATAACTGTTTTTAGCAGTTTGATAAAATAACAAAGATAGAACATTTGGCAGCAATATTCTGGAAATGTTTTGGGGATGTTGCTGTTGAGAAAGTTCTTCTATAAAACATTATTACAATGTTACATAATAACAAAGGAAAGACATTCTCAGGGCAACATTTTTAGAGTATCTTTGAGAGTTTCATCCTGCCTTTAAAAAAAGACATTTTGAGAACTATAAGAAATCTTCCTGTTCAAAACATTACTAGAACTTTTGCAGATCTTTCATAGGATATATATATATATATAATTTTTTTTTTAAAATAAAAAAATTCATGGGCCTAGTAGCAAACAGACACTGACGGTTTAGGGCACATGGTGTAAAGAAGCCTGTGTTGAGTAGTGACATATTACTAAATGTGGCTTTATTTTGCATCGCTGGAACTTGTGGGACTTTACTGACCTGCTCCCGTTGCTTTACTCTTTTGTAAACAAAGTCCGAGAAGGGTTTTCTGTGAATGAATGTGCCGTGGCCTGGAGACACATGTAGCTGCCCATCCTCATAGACCACTTTGCCTCTGGAGATGGTGATGACAGGGACACCGTGGCACTCCATGCCCTCAAAGATGTTGTAGTCCACAGCCTGGTGGTGGGTCTTGGCTGATATTTTCCTACCAAGTCACAAAGATACAACTAGAGGTTTGAAAACACCTATAGACAGCTACTTTATTACTAAACTTAGTGGTCACACGCAGGAATTGTGAGAAATGAGGTAATATTGAAAGAAAATGTAAAACCATTGTTGAATCTTAATGCGCTCCATTCAAATCTGTAACTGATTGAATCAGGCCAAGACGTACTCATACTCAGCATCGAGTTGCTGCAGCTCTTTCACCGCACAGCAATGAGCCATATGATGTATTATTTACAACTTTTGCTCATGTGATGCTCTCTTTTCTAAAAGGCTTACTAAGCAAATAATCCAAGCTTCTTTCAGTCAATAAAAAGGCACCTCAACATTTTCAACGCTGTGTATGACATTATTGTGGCATCTATCCAATGCTGCATGAGCACTGCCACAGAATATTGCAGCATAGCCAGTATCCTGATATAACAAAACTGACTGTGCACGCTGGAGTTGGATGATGAATATGAATGAGTTTTGATGAAGGAACTCAACAGAGGCTGCACTTTCAAGTTTTCACCAAAATAAATTTAGCATATTTGCGATGGAGTTCAGTGACAGAAATAATTAAAATAATTTAAATCATTTATCTGAAAACACTCTTGGTAAATCTATCTATGGCAGGAATGATTTTATTCAAGATTTATACCATACGACTTGTACATTTCCATCAAAGCACCACACTGTAGACTGGATATTCATCACAGCAACAGCACTTTTTTTCCCCTGTAGGACTGCACATAGCTTTAAACAATCTCTTCCCATTTTCATGCAGCCAGCATTGGAATGTAACTATACTAGCCTAAACAAAGCACATAATTTAAGATATTTTTTATCCTACATTTAGTCTGTATTTATAGGTACGCGTTACCTTGCATATCGAGATTCTACATTTAAAATGCATTATCAGCTTCAAAACTATAATACAAAAACTTGCATCACTACTGCTTACAAAAGTATTAAAACATTGATGCACTTGTCATATGAAAACAATATTATATAGTATAATAATATACCAACCACAAAGCCATTTACATGCATATAACAGCATGTATAGCTAATTTTGGCGTTTTGTATTTTTCTCAGATTTGTGCTGCTACTTTTGGGCTGCAAGGTTTGCCTCGCAGCAAGAGGGTCGCCAGTTCGCGTCCCGGTGAGGACACACAGGATCTTTCTGCGTGGAGTTTGCATGTTCTCCCCGTGCAGCGTGGGTTCTCTCCAGGTTCTCCAGCTTCCTCCCACAGTCCCAAAACATAATTTGGTGATTCTAAATTGTCCGTAGGTGTGAATGTGAGTGTGCTTGGTTGTCTGTCTCTAAGTGTAGCTCTGTGATAGACTGGTGACAATTTTAACATCAAAATTATTATAGATTTATTTATTTATTTGCTGGAATACCAGATATGTGGGTTTGGCCAGGGAAAATAACAAAAATATATATCTTGACCTGTAGAACAATAATCTTTTGCGATCTCTAATTTTGTGTGTAGTATTGGTGTCTATGGGAGCCAGGGCTGTTTGGACCCAGCCCCTGATGGCAGTCGTGGTATTGCAGGTTATTGACACTGTCCATCATGCTTATGCATTCTGTACTTTTAAGTTATTAGCAAAAGCTGCAAATGGCAGTGAAGTCCACTGTTCGCTTGCATTGTAGCTCATTACAGTGTATTGCAACATTAGTCCTCCTACTCCTGAAAGTAACAGGCTGCTAAATGTTGCCCTGTGTTGACTAGCTACATTAGCAGCTAGCTTGCCTTTCTGCAGTTTGGTGTTGAGCAGGCTAGATTGGGTTGTTTGATTGAAAAGAGCTTTATGCACTGACAAAAATGGGGTTTAAAGGCACCAAAGTGCAAAAAACCAACTACAAGTGTGAGCTGCAATACATGTATGTGGTGGAGCTGCACCTGATTGCTCATAATTCTCTGGGGATTTATCACTACCAGCAATGCCTTTCATATACAAACAGTTACACAATCCATTGTTAATATGAAATGATAGATTATATACAGCCAGTTTATGTAAAGACTCAGTATGCTTCCACCACATGGATAGTAGCAGTTGTAAGCTAATACATATTCTCCTTGGGGCGTTCGACGGGCTTTCTGGGAACTGCACAAAATCTGTTCATAATAAAATGATGAAATGCTCTGCACAGTACAGCCTGATGATGCCTAACAAATAAATCCTATCTGAGTAAAAGACAAAATCAGCAGGGAACAGTAAAATAAGTCAAACTCAGCCACTTCCTTGAAATGCACTGAATTACTCCCCCCCTCTCCCCCCGGACCCGTCTTTTCTCCATTTACACAGACTCACGTATGTTTCCTGTTGATTTGTGCTGCCAGACACCATGCCTACTGTGCACTGACAAAAACAAGATGTGTCCTCATTATTCAAGTAGCCCAATTATGAAAAAACAAGGCAACCGAGTGAGCTTCCACGGCGTTTGCGGTTATGCAACTGTTTGTGGCCCCTGGTCCCGGATGTTATGAAGCGACACTTGCGCTTCAGGCAATTAATTACGCAGTTTCACAGATGAATTCACGGCTGCAGCAATCAAACATGAGGCGCTCTCATGCTTGAAAGGCATTATGACATCTATGGACATGCACACATAGAAAAGACAGAACATGGACAGTTAAATGAACAGGTGATGTCCGGGGACGTCAGGCCTGAGAGGATCAAAATACTGTAAACTACTCCATGGCAATAATTGTGAAGCTCTCCGGCCTGCACACAAGCTTTTTTTTTTGGTTGTGTTACCAGTGAATTCATTTACAGGAAATTACACCGGTGTGTAATGTGTTCTTCTCCAATTCACATCAGCAGTTAGTGACCTCCCTGAGGGGCTCAGCCCAGATCCTCCAGCAAACAGAGCATTGCTGTGCCGTTCTGGGTTATATAAGCCCCAGTGTGCTACAGTACAGACGCTAGTGGAATGAAAACTGTCCTCTGTGTCTGTGTGCATTCTCCACAGAATAGCATCTGCTCCATATCTGCGACTTGGTTAGGATTATAAAAGAAGGAAAAGAGACAATGACATGATCAGTTTTTATATGCAGTCTTATGATATTTTGAGCCGGTTACTGAAAATAGCCTTAATACTGCGTGTTCAGTGCTATGACGATTGGTTTAGCTCCCACGTGAAATATTCGTCATATTTAAGATCCTCACCGCGACCCGTCAGCATTGTCTCACTGATGCTGTGCGCATCTTGCTTATGTAAGTGTGTTAAAATCCTTTCCAAAAAAATAACCAAACATAAAAGAGAATTAATCATTTCAACTGTTTTTTTTGTTTGTTTTTTTTTGTCACTGAGTGAAATTTGATTCATATGTAAATTGTGTTATGCTTTAATTTGGAGATAAGTGGTGACATACCCTGACTTTTGGATGGAGCACAGACGTAATCAGCTTATGTGGTGGGTTAGTGTGCGGTGTGTTGAGGTAGCACAAGATGAAAGATCATCTCTCTTTTTAGTTGCCTGTATCTACATCATACATGCTTTACTAAACTTTAAAGCCGTCTCTTATTTAACCGAGTGCTTGACACCCTGAAGACATGCTTTCATCTTTGCCCAGTGTTTCAGCAGCACCATCTGCAGTTGAAGCTGCTGATAAAAAAGGTGGAAATGTCTGAGCTAAATGTTTTTTTAAAATACACATCACTGTTTGATGTGTATTTCAGGATTTACATTGGAATCGCACCCATTCAAAACTGTATACATGCGCTATCTGAAGGGTTTCTTTTGCTGCTCAGTTCCAAAAGCTTTCTCCTGTACTGCTGAATGGCTGGAGTCGGGGTCCTCACCTTGTCATCTTGGGGTCCCATATAACCACATCAGCATCCGAGTTCTTGGCGATACGGCCTTTCTGCGGGTAGAAGTTGAAGATTTTTGCTGCGTTGCTGCTGGTGACAGCCACAAATCGATTCTCGTCCATTTTGCCGCTGTGCTGAGGGGAGGAAAACGCACAAAGCACTCCCAGTTTGAGTAAGGGGGCCACAGTGGATGACAACACTATACAGAATTAGCAGACAAAAGGTCAGTGCTTAACTGTGCAGCAAGCAACTCATTTCTGCCAAAATATCATCTAATGTGTGATTTGTAAGCACTGTTGCACGTAGTAAATCTTTCCAGTGGCCTTGGGGCGGCCGGGCTGATACACTCTCCCCACAACAACGAGAAGAATATGCAGTGTCTGCACTCTGCAGCAATCTGCAGCACCGAGAGTTTATTGCCTTTTCTGTTTGTATTGTACAAAAACTGAAACTTGCATTTCACCTAAATAAATATGAGAAATGTAGAATTAATACCAGTCAATACATTTTCAAAAAGTATACATAATTAGCCTGACATGAAACATCAGGATATGAATTCATGCACGCACATGGGGAGTGGAAAGCATGCAATGGCTGCGTGCTGCATGCTGTGTGTGTGTGTGTGTGTGTGTGTGTGTGTGTGTGTGTGTGCATTCGAGGCCCCAAGTCATGGCAAATATTCATAACTCGATATTAGCAAAGTGGCCTGGAAGAGCCTAATCATTTTAAAAGATATTGTTCCCCCTCCCCCCTGAAATAATTTGGCCTCAATCCACAATGAGTAATTAGCCATGACTGTGCATCACACTAAGAAGTATTAAACTAAGATGCAAATTCATGCAAATTGAGACTTTTAAAGCACAAATGAAGTTGTAATTTTTCTGTCATTTGCCCTTTTCGATCTATATTATCTTTATATTCGGCCCACTGCAAACTGTGTAATTAGACGGATAATGACAAGAAGCAGCTAAATAGCAGTTAACAGCAGCTATAGCAGATCATACATTTAAATCTCCCTGTGGATCATTGTCAGATAAAGTACAGGTATATCATGAAGACATACCACTCCTTTCTCCCAGATGACAGACATCCTGTCCTCCACGCCATTCACACCGTTGGGGATCTTGGTGAAGTTGTCTTTGCCCAGAGCTTTCTGGCACAAAGAGAAGGTGCAGTTGTCTGTCCCCGTCACACTCAGATCATCACTAGATCGATTTCCAGAATAGAAAAAAAAAATGCATGAATGAACAAAAGAAGTGATGTCAAAAGAAACAACCAGTTCAGTAAATTCACACCCTGTATCTTTTCCTCCATCTTCTTCTAGTTCCAAAAACTACAAGCTCCAGAATACAAATGCCAAATTTCCAAACAACATTAAATATATATTTCACAAACGTGTTGATTACACATTTTTAGTGGCTTTCAGTTCCACCTACTTGGCCAGTAGGTCCATGAGGTACCCAGGGGTGGAGGGGTCAGGCCTGAGGGGAGGACCCATGACGAAGGCAGCAGCATGAGCCCAGTCTTTGTGCCAGTAGTGGGTACCATCAGTGCCCAGTCCAGCTGCAATTGGCTCCCCAAACACCACACGGCCTGTTGAGAACACTTACATTTGTAGGTGTCACATGATAACGCCAGAGAAAACTAGATCTGCCGAGAAAGGTCGCAGAATGTGATTGAAAACTGCAGCCTTAGCTTAGTTTCTCAGTGGCTCTTCCACCAAGATAAGAAGACAAATCATGTGGAAACACTGAATAATTGAACATCTGAGGCATGGAAAATATAAGCACTGTTATTGGTTCCTGTGCTTCAGGGGGCCACGCAGGGCCATCATCTGTCAACCCGCCCTCTTTAAACAGCAGGTGGCAGCAGTACACACTCACCATCCCTGCGTGCATTGGACACCACCTTGGCGGCAGATTTACTCATGACATGGACCACATAGAGCGGGCAGTTGACAGCGTGGGCGATTGTGATGGCTCGTTGGGTGGCCTCGGCCTCCACCTCCTCCGGTCGACACAGTTCATGGCCCTCGGGCCCCGTGATGCCCATGGACAGCATCTTCTTAGCCCCCTGTCGAGTGCCAGCGGGGATGCAGACAACGAGGCAGGACAAAGGTTAGAGGAGACGGAAGGTTAACACAGCACAGTGTCTGTCCAAGTCAGAGAGGGAGAGTGGCTAGGTGCTGACTATATTTGCAATAAATGTAGTTGCAATAAACACACAAATACTTTTACTCTTTAAGACTGAAATGGGGAAAAAAATGCAGATGTGATTGGGATCATGGGCCAAATCAGTGGCTTAGTTTCATGCTGGGTAGACGTTGAACACACCAACAGCTGCAGTATTCACGCTCTTACCACCCCAGTAGAGCCATGAGGTGCTTTTCAAGCATTTGCTGCCCCTTAGTGGTGTTGTTTTGTTATGACATTTGAAAAAAGATGGACTGGAACATTCAAATTATGACAAATAACAGGCACTTTGTCTTTGTGTGATAGCATCAATAAATGCATTTTTAGTTTCCTATTTGTACCAGTAACACACCATGAACAACACTGTCATGCTTAAACTGGAAGACTTAAACTGGTTTAATGCATGTTAATGATGACATCTGTGTTTTTCCTGATATATATGGTGAAGGTGTTCAGGATAAACTATGGATGAGGTCAAAGCTGCTTCTCAATATTCATTGTTGTTGCTACAACACATATGAACCTTTGACCCGTTTTAGTTGCCCAACATGCCTGTTCATTCACAATTCACGATTTTTTCATTCATCTCATCTTTAATTGAAAGTGCAAATTCTGTTTTGAATTTTGCTGTATAATACTGAATTTTTCATGACTCCTACTGTGTTCTTCTTTGAACAGAAAGGGGACTTTAGCCATCATTGGGGTGAAACATTAACTAGTAATTATTTCTGGACTCTGGTGTGTTTACTCAAAGACCCTACCACCTTGATCTAACCTAACCAGACTTGATGGAGAGGAAAACAGCATGTAAGCTTTTTTTGTTTAGATTTGAGCATCATGGGAGAATTTAGTCTGTGACCACACTAAAACTGTTTTTACTAGTTAAATTCCAACTAAATTGCTTGAGCTTGGAATGGAATGCTGCTGTGGGTGACTGTGGCATGTGTTGCTGGAGCTGTTTCTCCTTAATGCACATTAAGGCATACTTCAGCTGGAAGTGTGTTGTTTTTTTGCAAAAGTGGGGGAAAATGTTTCAACATTCAACAGCAACTCCTTCACTGTGTGGGTACCTTCATTCTCTTAAGTTAATAAACAGGTAATTACATTTGACAGTACTGACCTCTGCAATCAAATCTCCATTCTCAGCGTGCACCTGGGCTAAAGCTCCTATCGCACTACAATGGGAGAAGGCTGCGTATAGCTCATCATCCTGCAGCATGAACACATCTTTATAGGCCATAAACATCTTGAAAGAATTTACTCCTTTCTCTTTGGTCAGAGTCTCCATCTCCTTCTTGACCTGCAGAACAAATCAGAGAAGTAAATGGAGCTCTGAGTGGAGGGAAAGCATTTGTGGTTAAGATTTATTCAGAACTTGTAAACCTGCTTGTCAATTATTTTACTCTGCTAAAAATGCACTAATCATTCACCTTGTCACTCCACCACGTGACAGCGACATGCAGTGAGTAGTCGCAGCAAACTTTGCTATCAGCTGTCTTGCGCCAGCGCTCGTAGGCCTCCAGGAGAGACTTTCCTTTTTGGGGGATGACAAAGTCCAGGATCATTGTGGTCCCTCCTGCTAGAGCAGCCTGGTGAAATGCACAAATGGTCATAGAGGTATAAGTTAAAAATTGCAAACTATAGAGTAGTAAAAATGAATGAAGTAATAAGATCCAAAATAGATCAAGCAACTGAGTGTTAAGATAAGCAAGTGTTGCATGCTTATACAGGATGGATCTATGAATAGGGGGCAGGATGTCAACGGTCAGATGATAGGCATGGATCAAAGGCACGTGAGAAGACAGTGGAGATGTTAAAAACAATTGTGCATGGTGTTTCATATACGGCAATAAGCTGTGGTCTTTTATGCAATTTTTTCCATCAAACACTATCTGACAGCGGTGTTTTGTGAGCCTGTATCAGTGAGTACAGATTAGTTAAGCAACTGTGGACATTGTCTCCCAAACTGGCCTCTAATCAGATCAATACCTGTAGATGAGTAAGATGTAGGAACAAAATGCTTTTGCAAACTTTCCTGTACAGGTTACATTATTTATGAATATTATGGTGAACAAAATGGCAGAAACAGCATTGATTCAGTATGATGACTATTATTTAGACTGTAACATCAGTTGCATAGTTCTCGATGCTACCTCAGGTGAAGCTGCATTTATGCACCTTGTTCAAAAAACTCTATTTCTATCCACATTTTCTAGATACAGTGAATTGTCCTTTATTAAAACAGTATGTTAAGTCAGACAAGTTTGAAACACATCTCTAGTGACAACCTTCAAAATAAAGCATCAATGTGCACATGTTAGTTACAGTAAAGACAATTCGAAATGGAAGATGCTTTTATAGAATCTATTATTTGAAGCCCCTCAGTAAAGATGTAACTGAAATACCAAAAACCACAAACTAATCCTGCACCTACTGCATCAGTAAATGTCATTCTGGTGGGATTTTTTTTTTCCTTTTTGTTTTTTTAAACAATGACAGAAAATTAGATTCTCTGCAAATCCGTAGATATCCAAGTTCACTGGACAGTGTCTGTAAGTGTGGAAAGCTGATAATTCTGGCAAGCAAAGGTGGAAAGTAACTGAGTACTGTTCCATAAAATTCTAAGCAATTTCACCTAAACTCTGCCTTAGTTAAAAGGCAAATACTGCAATTTGTATGTATTTAAAACATTTTTAAAATACATTTATTCAATAGCATTAATACTTGAGATAAATGACAATAAGCATAATCAACAAATAAACTACAATGTAATACCATAGGTTGAGATAAGACTTCATTGATACTTTGGAGGAAACCCACAAGCTACCCTGGAGTAGATAAAACAACACCAAAATAAATAAAAACTAAACTTTGCTCCACGTGATCATTAATGCATTGACAGTTATCAAACAATATAATACAAATGTCCCAATCTGCATGTTTAGTGATTTTACTTTTTGGTACTTATTGACACCAAAATTCTGATTGAATGCCTTTTTATGTGCAACATGTCAGATAGAAGGTGTATAGTTCTGCCAGTAATGGTAGCAGGTATTCTCAAAGTCACAACCCAGCATTTGGAACATGGAAAGTAGAACAAATTGTGTTTATTTTTGGCATCTACTGTATAGTTGATTGTTTCAGTCCCTTAGGATGGTGGCAAATCCACAAAAAGTTCACCCTCAGAGATACGATTACTTTGGAGACACCACGTGCTGTACCTATAGAGTCTATCTTTAAGTTTTGCAGGGGGAAAAAAAACATATTTTTCGAGTAATTTAAGTAAATGTTTGGAGTTTAGAGAAACAAGAGCCAATGTTGTCCACCTCTGATGATGGAAACGCGGATACGATTTACAGATTTGGCTCAAATCTTGCAAATCTAATTCAAATGTAAGTATGCCAATCGTTGTTACTGTTGCTATTACTACAGATGTATTACAGGCGTTTTTACAATCCAAAACAACTCAATAAAAATCCTGTAGAGTAAAGCAGCAAAACAAAGTGAAAACAATTAAAGTTGGGACTCTGCATCCGCCCCTTAATGTGAAGGAGAGGCTGTCCAAGCGTCTGGGTCTGTCTGTGTCCACCTTGACGGGTCAGTTCCTACTAGAAGCAGTGTTAATGTGGTACCTTGGTGCCGATATGGAAGTCATCCACAGCCGTGGTGCCCATGAACGACAGCTCCATGTGCGTGTGCGTGTCGATGCCGCCCGGGATCACCAGCTTATCGGTGGCATCGATGACTCGCACCCCCGCCGGGATCTGAAGATTCCGTCCAACTTCGACTATCTTCCCATTTTCAATGTACACGTCGCTGATCTCGGAGCAGTCCTCGTTCACAACTTTGCCTCCTTTAATCAGGATCCCGCTGGGCTGTGCCATTCCTGCTGCGCGCAAAGTCAGAGTGTTTAGATTGGAGCAGAGAGACGGAGTTTGTGCAAACTTAACTGCGCTCTGACCCTGTTTGTCTGTGTGCAGGAGCATTCAGGGGCTTTGCACAAGAACGCACGTCAGCTCCAAAGTTCATCCCAGATGTGGACGACTGCAGAAGTGCAGTGAGAGAAGAGTTCGTCCTGCTCGTCCCCCCTCGTTAATGAAAACCGCCCTCTGAATCCTGATTTACAGCACACTGGCTGCTGCAGCACATGAAGAGTTCATTTGAAAACAGATAAAAGACATTTTTCTTATTAATTAACCAACCCCAATTTGATTGATGTTCCTTTGACTGCACAAAAACAAAACAGAGACAAAAACAATTAGAAAGAAAGAAAGAAAGAAAGAAAGAAAGAGCTATACTTGTCCAAAAAAAATAAAAAATCCACCCAATATGAGTTAAAAGTCCAAACCAGTCTAACTAAAAAAAAAAAAAAAAAGATGAATACAAAATAAAAAAACAAAAATCTGAACCAAAATAACAGTTTTTGCAAATGAACTTTCTCGTATCATATCATCTGCACTGGTTTTAAATGTGCACTTCATCCAGCCTATTGCATCTGACTTTAACTCCAGGCATTTGAAGTTTTTATTTTTGTCTCACACAAGCCAGTGTTAAAAAATATCCCCCTGCACTAGTCCATGTTGGCTGTATAATGGAAGTCACGGCTGGACTGACTCGCTAGGAGGCAAAAAATGGAGCTGATGTCCTCTGCTGACCCCTCCCGTCCATCCACGCTGTCAGAGCTGGGCTACCAGCCGAGCAAACAGGCAAGGTTCAGTCAAATGGCTTCCGTTTTTTTTTTCCCTGCATGACAAGTAATTAACACACAGAAAACCTCAGCCAAGGTCATGTTTTTCCATCATAGAAGAACTGTTAAGGCTGTATCTAACAATTATTTTAATAATCAGTATATCTGACAGTTGCTGTCTTTAATAATTCCGTTCAGTGTATTAAATTTCAGAAAATAGAGGAAACTCAGCCTATTAAAATACTCAGACTGCTTTTTTAATTTGCTTGTTTGATCAGCAGTCTAAAAACTAAAAGAAACAATCTTAAAAATTAAAATATTAACGAATAGTTACAACTTATTTTTGCCCCTGTGCCCAGCTTGTTCCTTACAGACACAGTTGTTACTCTACACCCAAATACAAATGCAAAATAAACTGAAATAAATCAGGTTTAAAATCTGGAGTTGCACATGACATTTTCTGCAAGAGAGAGCTCAACCTATGAGATCATTCAGACATTTATTATTTCAACAGCTTTCTTGGTTTAATGGCTATTTTAGCGCATATTTTAATGGCACTACATTTAGAAAAATCACAAGCAAAGCGAAAGAGGTTGCAGAAACGTGTTCAAAGCAACATTGTGGATGAAAATGTGCAACGATAAAACCTTTTCTGGGGTCAACATTTCATTTGTAGTTGTGCTGGAAACATTGCAATGACTTTTTCTTTGTACTTGCTGGTTCTCTACAGGAGTTTAGACATATACATGGGGATATGAAAAAGGACCAATAGCTCCCTCGAGTAGGAATAACAAGACCAATAAGTTCTACTTGCTCTTATTTGCATCATAGCATTTTCAAGTAAAAAGAAAATGGTTCTATTAAACATTGGTGTCCTGATCTCCTGCATCTCAGACATGACAGTCAAACATCAAGGGAAAACCTGCTGACAGTGTGCAAACTGAGACATTCCACCAGCTGGGTGGCACTGCACAGAGATCATCTGTATAATAAAGATCAAACTGCAGCTTCACAGCAGCTGAACTGCTCTCAACACAAATAGTCTTATTAAAATTGCCTTTTGAATAAACATTATGTCATATAGATGAGATGGACTGAGATTTACTAAAACATTTTTTAGGCTTTGTAATCATTTTATGTTTATATTTAGTCGTGTTTGGAACTTGAGACAAACTTTTATCAGTCACTTCATCTGTATGACATCAGGTTAGACGGAGCTGCAGGCAATCCTGAATTAGTTTTGTTGGTGTTGGCTGATGAGAGAAGGTATGTGCTCACATGTATTCATATGGAACATTTGTTCATTAACTATTCTGCTAAAGAGCTTGAGTACAAAAACACTTGGTGGTCAGAGTTTCCATTCATCAGGTTGTTGTTCTGTGCTGGAAGGAATCAGATCAGAGTTAATAAGCAAAGGAGCAGCAACTGGAGTCACAACAGGACATTTACTCTCATACGGGTCAACATGTGGAATCAGAAATATTAATTCACTGGATTTTTTAGAATTATTATTGTATTTGATTGCAGCCAGTGGAGAGAGATGGGAAATGTGGGAAAAGAGAGCTGAGGAATGACATGCAGCAAATGATCTGGACAGTCAGGAAGCAAAGCAGAGACGAGTTAGTGCATTTGTGCTCTAATTCATTGCATATTAATAAATTTCTGTGCATTCAATTTAGAACAATATTTTATCCTGTGATCTTATACATGCACCTATGTGTTAAATTAAAGTTACAAGCATTCTGTGTAATTTCATTCTAGCTTTATTTATCAAACAGGTGGGAAGAACAGCTTTGGGTTCCGTATATACAGTCCAGACATCACAGTAATTAACCTAATGCAAAACATCTGTCTCCCTGACACAACGTCCTGCTCAGGGGAATTGTAGTCTTAGAGCAGTTATGGACTACAAATATGGGGCGTTATGGGGAGTCGATGAGATCTAGAAAAATTCAAACATACAGTATTCTAAGCAAAATGGATGGATGCTGTCAGGATGTACAAAACCAAAGTCGAAAACAGTCTCGTTAGAAACGTCCAGAGTTGTTGAATTGTTCTTTCTTTCTCTACCTGCTGACACAACAGGACAGCAACATGTCGCGTGTTCTATTTCTGTCCTTATTCTCCTCTAGCTAAATCAGAGATCATGGATGTATTAAAAGCAGACTCAATTAAGCATTTCTAGTTATATTAGGGTTTCTACTGGCCTCTGTCATGGCAGGTATTTTGACTCTTGGCAACAGTAAAGTGAACGTAATTGAAAACAATAATAGCTCCAAAAACCTGTGACCTCAACCACCAAAAAAGGTGATTGCGTGATTTGGAATTGTTTATATTTAGTTTTTGGGTGTTTTTTTTTTGCTTTAAATCCTGACAAAACAACATGCTTCTGATAATGCTGTGATATCCCTGGAGCATGCAACTGCCTCTCTTTCATGAAGAGTTGTTAGCCACTGGGAGAGATTAATATTTTACTGCAGTGGATTGGTTGTCTGCGCCGCATCAGTCCAGACAACTTTTCTCATCCATTAGTGTATTACGAAAACAAGACACATTGGAGAGACAAAGATGCATGCGCTGGCGAGATAAGCGCACGCACAGGGCTTAGGAACACCTAACCTTCACAGTTGCAATAAACAATAACATGTGACTTAAGAGGATTTACATAAGATGAGAGGAGTAATCAGAGGGAGTGAAAAACCAATGAGGCAGCAATGGCATCTCCTCAAAAGTCTCTGTGTTGCTGAATGAGGAAAGTTGCCATTCTGCTGGATTTGGAGGAAGGCTGTTGTTATCATTTTATTTCCCCTACCAACACTACAAACCAACACAGATGTCACGTTCTTTTTTTTTTTTCTTTCTTTCTTTTTTTTTTTGACTGAATTGAAATGCAGCGAGCACAGCTTCAAGTGTTGACATGGTAAAACTCTGGCATTAGAAGGGCATAGCATGCACAAAAAAGTGGCATAAGATAATGCTCAGGCAGATTATCACTGCTCTCTGCAGCAAGAGGCTTTTTTTCTTACCGTGTTTGTGCTCAGATTCACATATCATACTGCAGCTGCAACAAGGCAGATCTGAAAGAGGAAAAAAGGCGAGATCATACAGCAGTCGGTTTGTCATTTCTGTAAATGATATTCTTTTGGCAAAACAAAGATGAGCCTTAAAATTAATGGAATGTTCCTTGTTCCTGTTTTTCTACTATCTCATTTTATGTTTTTTATTTTAATCTAATCTTATCAGACTTGCATGTTGTCAGATTAAATGCACATATCTGCTTTATATCTACCAGAAAACATCAATTCATCTCTCTTGCAGCCAAGCAAAACATTAAAATAAAGAGGCAAAGAGGAGTCACTTGGATGGTACGCTTCACTGTCTTACTGTGGGTTTTATAAGCCTATACTGTATGCAGACAGTCACTGAGCCAACAACAATAACCTGCCTCTGTATATGCGCAAAATGGTTGAGCTGATAATGGACGTCAGGAAAAGACACAGCCCTCATTCACTTTGGCACATCTGCCACAATTCACGCTTTCTAGGAGCCGAAGTTGAAGATGGTCAGAAAAAGTCCCAGCAGAGGATGTAGGACAGCTGCTGCTGCTACTGTCCGACACATCTCGCCACTGTCCCGTACATATCACTCACAGTTAGGTGAAGCTTTAAGAAGATTATCAGTGCCACCTTGCCCACCCTCCAATACTTGTCCACCTGCCAAGTCAGGAAATTCAGTGCACATCCCTCCCATCCGGGCCAGGCAAGTTATTTTATCTCCTTTTCTGTCTAGTGCGTCCTGAAAGGGACAATACTGCATAAAGAAAGACACAGCAGCAGGTACAACATGCTGATGAGCAATCCCGTCACTGAAAAAATGAAATTAGTAATTCTACAGAAATGTACAGTACTAAAATCTCTAAACATGTCACTTGTGCTAAATGTCTTTTTTTGGTTTTTGTACAAATGTTACACCACATTTATTCACAATGCAGCGTGTGAATATTTTACATACAGCCTCCCCCAGCTCTATGTTTAATTAATTATACAGCCGCACATATAGAGCATTTCTCTAACGTGTAGCACACTCTGTCAATCCTGGTGAAAACACAAAACCAACCATTATTGCATTCTGCTTGTAATCAGTTTGACCTATTTATAGCCGCTGCATTATTGTTTGCTCAACATCTTATTCTCTCTTTCTGTGTCGATACATTTAGCATATTTGTTAATGTTTAAGTTATTTTAATGGTCACATTTTATTTATATACCAATTTC